ACGCACAGCGGAGTTCCGCCCGATGCGCGCGCGCATACACACACACACACACACACACACAAACACACTCACACACACAAACGCACACACACACACACACACACACACACACACACACACACACACAAACGCACACACACACACACACAGAGAGACACACGTTTAACGACAAGATTCTGGTCCGATCTGAGATAAAGACTCAATATCAGACACTTTTAACCATGTTGACAAATACATGTGTCAACGGAATATTTCTATAATCACATCAGGAAGACAAATAAGAGGCAGCAAAACTATTAAATATGAAGTTAATTAGTATTCCTTTAAACAAAGCTAATGATAATTACTAAAGATGAGGGCTGCATGAAAACTGGACACTTTTCACAAAATTCAATGCAGACTGTGGGCGAAAATCTGCTAAATGTATTTGAATACAGTAAATATGACATACTGATTAAGCAGAAAAGTGTGAATCAAGGTTATTATAATTAACTAAATTAAAACATTCATTGCTTGAAATAAAAAAAACTTTAACTGAAATAAAATAAACAAAAAATCTTAAACTTACTTTATTTAGTTAGTTGCCAAGGCAACATTTCTCATTTTTATTTAGTTTCACTTGATGTTCTAAAGTAACTAAATTGGAAATAAAAATTTCATTAAAAAAAAATATATATATATATATATATACAGGCGCATCTCAATAAATTAGAATGTCGTGGAAAAGTTCATTTAGTGAATTGGTGGGTTTTTGTTAAATGTGAGCCAAAATCATCACAATTAAAAGAACCAAAGACTTAAACTACTTCAGTCTGTGTGCATTGAATTTATTTAATACACGAGTTTCACAATTTGAGTTGAATTACTGAAATAAATGAACTCTTCCACGACATTCTAATTTATTGAGATGCACCTGTATATATATAGACAAATAAAAAAAACTAATAAAAATGACAAACACAACAAAATTGCTAAAACTTTAGCTAAAATTTTAATCAAAACGGAAAATATAAAAATTAAACTAAACTAAAATACTAATAAAAACTAATAATACTTTCTCAATGATACTAAAATTACACTGGAGTGAATATGAGACAAAACAATGATCAGTTGATCTCATATAGTGTGCAGGTCAGCGTTATCGTTCACTAAAATTAAAACCACTAATAAAAATTGTTACTTGAAATAAAATAAAAAAATCTATAAAAAAATATTTTATTTCAGCTAGTTGACACGGCCACAATTTCATTGTTTAACTTCATGTATTAAAATAACAAACTAAAATTCAAATAAAAATTAATAAAAACTATATAGACATTTAAAAGGATCCAATAAAAATGACAAAAACACGCAACAAAATTACTAAAACTTTAAAATTAAAATGGAAAATATATCTATAAAAAATCTAATAAAACTTAATAAAAACTAAATAAAGATAAAAAATAAAACTCATGTTATTTTGCTGACCTTGTTTCTAAACATATGTGGCCCTGGAGCACAAAAGCAGTCTTAAGTCAAAAATACATTGTATGGGTCAAAATTATTGATTTTTCTTTTATGCCAAAATTATCAGTGTTGGAAACAGTTGTGCTGCTTAATATTTTTTTGGAACCTTTGATACTTTTTTCAGGATTCTTTGATGAAAATAAAATATTTTAAAAATAATATAAAATTAGAATATAAAAAAACAAATAAAATAGAAATAACAATAAAATAGAATATAAAAACAGCATTTATTCAAAATATAAATATTTTATAATAGAATATAATTATTTAATATCACTTTTTATCAGTTTAACACATTCTTGCTGAATAAAAGTATTAAATTCATTCAAATAGAAAAAGAAAAATGTACTGACCCAGAACCTTTGACTTGAGTAACGGCTGATGAAAATTCAGCTTTGCATCACAGAAATAAATAATATTTTAAAGTATATTAAAATAAAAAACATGAATTTAATTTGCAATAATATTTCACAATATTACAGTTTATTCTGTGTTTCTGATCAAATAAATGCAGCCTTGATGAGCAGAAGAGACTTCTTTAAAACACATGAAAAATCTTACTGCACAACATTGAGGTCAAACTGCAATTAAAATGTTTAATTATTTAAAATTGTAACATTCACCTTTGCAAAACTCATGAAGCTACAGTGTTGTGGGAGGTTGCCAAGGCGTTGCTATGTGGTTGTTAGGGGCCGTTCACACAGAATGTGTTTTTCGACTGCGCTACTTTCCCGTTGTTTTTCTATATAAATGCGCTAGACGGGTGCATTCTACGGTTGTGTTTGCGTCTTTTGCAGCAACACAGCGTCCTAAAAACACAGAGCTCAAGTTAGAACAGGTTCAACTTTTTAAAAAAATGTGTCTTCAGACCTTGCGCTTTTTCCACTGCCTGTGTCTCGCGGTTTTCAAAGTCAAAACGTGTTCTGTGTGAACGGCCCATATGGCTGTTGTGTGTGTGTTTTCTCTTCATCAGCGCACGACCCTCAACTACATGCTGGTCTCAGAGCGACAGAAACAGAGACGGAGGGAAAGAGAGACACTTACTTTCAAACGTCACCCTCCTCTTCTCTGAAAGAGCAGAAGAGAAACAGCTCTCAGATTTGACGGAGCAGGACGCAGAAAGAAAGCAAGAGTGCAGGAGGACACCGACAGAAACATGAGGAGAGACAGAAGCAGCCACAGAGAGAGAAAACGACTGAAATATTCCTCATCTACAGACCACACCAGCTTCATTCATCTGAGACTGAAAAACTCCTGCATTAACAGTTTTTAGTTTGGACGACGACATGAAACTATGCTCAAAGGAATCTCAGAAAAACTTTTATTTCACCCCAAAACCAGAAGAAATAAGAATACATATGTACATATATTTATATGTGTGTGTGTGTGTGTGTATATATATATACATTATTTATCTACATTAACCCTATTTATTGACTTTAATTACATTTTTGTTTGCATTGCAACATTATTTTCACAACAATTAAGCACCCAAATTACCCATTTAATTCCCAAATTAGTTTGGGAGTTAGTTTACTTTCTAGAGTTATTTTTAATTTTAATTTTCATTACTGTAATGTATTAATTTTTATTATTCATTTGAGTAATACAATGATTTTTCAAATTATAATCAAAATAAAGGCAGAAAAATAATTGTACTACTACTTTTTTTAAATTTAATAATTACATATAGGATTTTCATTTAAGTAAATAAATAAACTAACTTGTATATGTATATACACACACACACACACACATATATACATATATATATATGGTTTAATAATTATTTATGCAATTTTAATTTAATAACTGAATATATATGATATATGATTTTTATGTTAATTATTTCATTCTTACAATTGTTTCTATACATGTATTTACACATATATAAATAATTGTAAGAATTTGTATACTTATGTATATATCTTTTACACACACACACACACACACACACTTACTTCATTAACATTTCTGAATAACACTAATGAGAATTTTAGATTAAATGTGTTTAATATTCATGAAAATGTCACAATGCAAAAACATTCTTAATTTAATTTCTTATATATTTTTTTAATTTAGGAGTGAAATATGATCTGGATTCTGTTATGCTTGGATTAATGTGTTCTGATGAACTGTTCACAATAAGATCAGCATAATGAATAATTTTTTCTTTAAATAATAACCACTCTACGGTCTGATATAACCAACAAATCAGCTGAAGACTTTATCTGTATTATGAGAAACGCCTGACTGAACACATCACAGCCGCAGTAAGAGTCTGTGTACTTGTGTTGGAGTGAGTGTAAAGACTGACCCTCCGGCGTGGAGCTCTCTTTGCGGCGGGCCGAGCTGGAAGGGTTCAGGAGGCTGCTGGGATTGGGCTGGCGCTCCGGAGATTTCACGATGGCCGACATGAGGATCTGCTGACGGGCCGACGCCGGCGTGGACGGAGCCATGTGCTCCTGCGCTTTAAAATGAGCTGCTGAGAGACACAGAGAAGAGCCTCAACATCAAACCACAGTTACAGTACATCGCTGTACTAAAGGGATAGTTCACCCACAACTGAAAATTCTCTCATTAATTTCTCACCCTCGTGTCGTTCCAAACCTTGGGCTGGCGCTCCGGAGATTTCACGATGGCCGACATGAGGATCTGCTGACGGGCCGAGGCCGGCGTGGACGGAGCCATGTGCTCCTGCGCTTTAAAATGAGCCGCTGAGAGACACAGAGAAGATCCTCAACAACATGGTCACGTGGAGAGATGAGGCCCACACTGAAGACTCAGACTCACCCTCCTCTCGTAAGGAGCGCAGCTCGATCCTCATCTTCTGCAGCGCCTCCTCCAGCTCTGAGCAGCGCACTCGCTCGTTCTCCAGCGCTGCTTTCATGTCGCCGTACTGCAGGGGAACGGCGGGTTGAGACGAGACCGCGGCGGCGCTGTTAGCCGTGACACCCACCTCCTCACGCCGCCGCCCAAAAATACCCTAAACACACACAGATCACATGACACACAACCGCTGATCACCGAGATCACATTATGACTGATTACCAATATTATTCATCTGTACTGTTTCTTTGCTAGCTATATTTAATCTGTTTAAAGTTTAATTTATTTGTTTTATTTCAAATAAAATATGTGACCCTGGAGCACAAAAGCAGTCTTAAGTCGCTGGGGTATATTTGTAGCAATACCCAAAAAAACGTATGGGTCAAAATTATAGATTTTTCTTTTATGCCAAAAATCATTAGGATATTAAGTAAAGATCATGTTCCACGAAGATATTTTGTAAATTTCCTACTGCAAATACATAAAAACTTAATTTTTTATTAGATTGTCCGATCCTAACAAACCATACATCAATGGAAAGATTATTTCAGCTTATTCAGATGATGCATACATCTCAATTTAAAAAAATTGACCCTTATTACTGGTTTTGTGCTCCAGGGTCACATATATCATCTTTTTTAGTAAGTGTTTCACTTTGATTGTTTTTACTTTAAAATAACTCATTTCTTTATATCCCATTTGTTTCTTTTTAACACCACGGCAGCTTCTTCTATCTTCATGGGAAAACCAGGTTTAAGTTATTAAAAATGAGAACAGAATTAAATAACATATTTAAGATTCATTTTTTTTATTCGTCCTAAAAATCTGAAAACTAAAAATAGAAATAACTTGGCAGTTGTGATAAGGATTGTTAGAAATCTCGCAGACAATAAAGTAATTTACAAATAAAATTTGGGATTTATTATTTTTTAATGTTTTTGAAAGAAGTCTCTTTTGCTTTCCCAAGGCTGCATTTATTTTATACAAATACAGTAAAAACTATAATATTGTGAAATATTATTACTATTTCAAATGATGATTTTCTATATGTGAACATAGTAAAATCTAATTTATTCCTGTGATCAAAGCTGAATTTTCAGCATCATTACTCCAGTCTTCAGTGTCACATGATCTTCAGAAATCATTCTAATATGCTGATTTGGTTCATATTATTATCAGTTATTATTGGTGCTCAGTTATTAATAACGGTTTTTATGGACTATAGATATGTCCATGACATCCAAGCCTGGATTTCCTGATATTCCCAGGTTTTCCAGAACTGTGGGAGCCGTTTTATTCTCTTTAATAAAGCTAGTTCTGGATTAACTGGTTTCCACAGGCAGGCGGATTCAACAGCAGGAGTAGTAAAACTCAGAAGCTGTTCATAAAGCGCCTGCGGTTCAGTGAGAAACACTCAATCCCACAAATCAAACGCACAGAGATTCACACAGACTGTAATGAGATGAACGCTGAGACTCCCTGAGGCCTCATTAGCATCCTCCTGTCTCTCTCTCACTTCCTGTCTCTCATTAGCATCCTCCTGTCTCTCTCTCACTTCCTGTCTCTCATACCTTCTTCTTCTTGGTGGGCTGGTCCATCTTGGCCTGCAGGAAGTCGATGAGTTTGGTCTGCTGTGAGATAGTTCCCTCCATTTTCACTTTCTCGTGCGAGTAGACGGCCTGAGGAGAGACCAGGAGGAACGACAGGAAGATACAGATGAGTCTCATTCACACTAATAATAACTCTAATGAAATTCAGATTCTGCTGTAAAGAGGACAAGAGTGTCATTATTCAGCTCAAGTTTTGTTCTCTTTCAATACGAGTTAGTATTGTTAATAGCCTTAAAATAATTCATTACTTGTTACATTACAAATAAAATTTAAAACAAATATTATATGTATTTTATTTCAGCTAGTTGCCAAGGCATCATTTCTCATTTTCATTTAGTTTAACTTGATGTTCTAAACTAAAACAAATAAAAATGAAGAAAAAAACTATATAGATACTTTATATATAGATATAGAATTATAACGAATACAGAAAATATAAACATTAAAAAAATTCAAAACATTAATAAATCTATAATAGCATATCAATGATACTATTATACTACTATATGATACAATGGCGCAGTAAAATAAACAATATCACTGAATGTTGTGTGTCTTTTAAACATTTTAGAGCTCAGAATAACTAGAAACATTTAGAATTATTATAGAAATTCTCATGACTGTCCATGAATCAATTTCTATTAACAAATTACATAAATCACAATTAAAATTGTTGATATTTCCAGGTTTTCCATGACTGTGGATCAGCGGGTAATATTACAGTTAATTGTGACTTTTTATCTTACAATTCAGACAATTCTTCTTAGAAATGTAAATTAATATCTGAGTTTAAATCTTCCAATTCTGCATTTATATCTTGCAATTCTGAGAGAGAAAAAAATCTGAATTCTGAGATAAAAAGTCACAATTACCTTTTATACTTATACAAGCTTCCATAGTTTTATATTGATTTTAATGACTAATTTTTTTTTAAATAACCCTACTCTACCTATTTGTCCTATCGTTTGTAATCAGACTGACTGTAAACTGACTGTTTACTCATCATCAATAATTGTTTGAGTACTTTTTTACTTAGATTAGTTAGCCTTTCACTGATATCTAAAATTCTGATATCATAGTAACCTTATTTCCACCGAAATATACATAATATATCACTATCATGAAAAAAAAATAATTATATAAGATTTTGGTCATATCGCCCACTCCTAATTGTATAAAATAATAATGATTACAATATTGACCAGAATAACTGATTATGGTTTCTGCCATAATCGAGCAGCCCTACTTCAGATTCGACCAATCATGTGAGTTTGGGGCGGGACTATCTTTTTGACTGGCCAATGACAGGAGGAGGAGAGTTCAGGAAACCTGTTTGAAATGATAATTATTTCTACAGTTGTGTTTTATTACATTTATCCCAAACAGTAGCATTACTTCTGAATTTGAGCGGCATTCGTTTATGATTCTGACACACATTGTGACATCTTGAGGTGGTCAGCGAGTGTGTGTGTGTGAGAGAGTGTGGGAGTGTGTGTGTGTGAGAGAGAGAGTGTGTGAGAGTGTGTGTGTGTGAGAGAGAGAGTGTGTGAGAGTGTGTGTGTGTGAGAGAGAGAGTGTGTGAGAGTGTGTGTGTGTGAGAGAGAGAGTGTGTGAGAGTGTGTGTGTGTGAGAGAGAGAGTGAGTGAGTGTGTGTGTGTGAGTGAGTGAGTGTGTGTGTGAGAGAGTGTGTGTGTGAGTGAAGAGTGTGTGAGAGTGTGTGTGTGTGTTCAGACCTGGATGTTCTCCAGCTGGTACTCGAGGTCGGTTCTCTCGGTCTTCAGCAGGTCGGTCTGGTCCAGCGCGTCCTGCAGTCCCTGCGTCAGTCTGAAGATGTGCGTCTTCTGCAGGTCCATCTGCTGCTGCAGCTTCCCTTGCTGACACACACACACACACACACACACATTCATCCGTCAGTCCAGAAAAAGAGTGTCCTGTGACCCTTCAGATGAGTAGTTCAAGGGGAAGGTCTCTGATTTCACGACAACATAAATCCCTCACTTTGTCATAGGCAAAGAAAGCTCTGATATCATTGTTATGTTAGTGGAGAAGCTGTAGTCAAATGTTGATATCAGAGATGCTGAAAGTCTTCTGCGATATCTTGTGTTTATGTTTGTTTTCTCTCCGTTTCAACCGGACAAATTTATCAACATGTCTAGTGAAGTTGAAACACTTGTTTCTGCAGTGATTGTGATGAGCAGATGGGCCTTCACTGTGGTCTGGGACGCATTCATGTTTACAGTGCAAATCTAAAATATCTGTTCACCTTCACAGATGTTAATAGCACGAGTAAATTGGGACATAAGAGACTTAAAGAATAGCCAGGTGTAAACGTCTAATAATGCAATAAATAAAAAATTAAGTAATTAATTTTTTGCATACATACTGCATTGAATGTATGTTTGAATTTTTTTGGCATTTTTCTTATTTTATTTGATTACATAATAATTTACAATATTATATTACATTATAGTGCCTGTAATTATAATTTAAGAACATTTAAAGTCCATGCCAAAATAAATAAATATTTATATATTTTTTGCATATATACTACATGTAATGTGTGTATGCTTTAATACTATTTTTTTTTCAATTTTCTGATTTTATATATATATATAATATTATAATATAGTGTCTGTAATTATAATTTAAGAACATTTAAAGTCCATGCCAAAATAATTAAATTAATATGTATATATTTTTTGCATATATACTGCATGTAATATGCTTGTATGCTAAATACTATTTTTTGCAAGTTTCTGATTTTATTTTGAATATATTTTATTTTATTATATTATAATATGCAATGTTATATTACATTATATTGTAATTATATTTGCGAACCATTAAAGTCCATGCATAAATAAATAAATAAACAAACAAATTCATTTTTGCATATATACTGCATATAATATATGTTTGTTTGAGAATAATTAGTCTACAGCTGGTCTCCATACAGATACACCAGTGTGTTTTTCACCTCTTCCATGAGTCTTTGTTTGAGTTCTCTCTCCGTCTCGAGTTTCTGCTGAAGGCTCCTTGCGTTCATCTCCAGCATGGCATGTTTCTTCTCCAGGTCATTGAGCTGAAAACAGCACCACGACACAATAAACAGCACATACACCACAGCAAACAGAAGGCTTTGTTCTTCACAGTGTTCAGCTGATGCGCAGAGCAGTGTTTAATTAATCTCCATCAGCTGTAGCACTTAATCGCGGCTTGTTAAATTCCATATTGGCATGAATATTAATATCGCAGACGGAGGGCCGGTGCAAACTGTTGCGAGTGTGTTTGTGTAACTCACAGTATCAGACAGACTTTCTGCTTTCAGTCTCTGCTCTTTCAGGGCCTGCTGCAAAGCCACGATCTCTGCCTTGTGTTCGCGGACGGCCAGCTCAACCGCCTGCCGAGACTCTGTACTGCGCTGATCCGCTCGCAACCTGGGACATCCAATTAATGAGAAAATAAGAATATTTGCATATAAAAAGTATTTACACACACTACCATTCAAAAGTTTTTTTTTTTTTTTTGAAAGAGTCTCTTCTGCTCATCAAGGCTGCATTTATTTGATCAAAAATGCATTAAAAATGGTTAAATATTATTAGAATGTAAAATATCTGTTTTCTATGTGATTATCTGTTAAACTGTAATGTATTTCTGTGATGCGCAGCTGTATTTTCAGCATCATTACTCCAGTCTTCAGTGTCACATGATCTTCAGAAATCATTCTAATATACTGATTTGCTGCTCAAGAAACATTTCTGATTATTATCAATGTTGAAAACAGTTGTGCTGCACAATATTTTTGTGGAAACTGTGATGCATTTTATTTTTCAGGATTTACAGATGAATAGAAAGTTCAAAAGAACAGCGTTTATCTGAAATATAAATCTTTTTCAACATTATAAATGTCACTTTTCATCAATTTAATACGTCCTTGATGAATAAAAGCATTGACTTATTTTAAAATTGTCAAAATTATGCTTCATTTAAAATATTTTTCATTTCTTTAAAATCATCTTAGGAGACTGAAAAGTTCCCTTAAAAAAAAAGATAAGACTCACTCAAATATGTGACCCTGGAGCACAAAACCAGTCATAAGGGTCAATTTT